TTAGCTACATCTACTAGCATATTTAGCTACATCTACTAGCATATTTAGCTACATCTACTAACACATTTAGCGATATCTACTAACACATTTAGCTACATCTACTAGCACATTTAGCTATATACTAGCATATTTATCAACATCTACTAGTACATTTAGCTACATCTACTAGCACATTTAGCTACATCTACTAGCACATTTAGCTACATCTACTAGCACATTTAGCTACATCTACTAGCATATTTAGCTACATCTACTAGCATATTTAGCTACATCTACTAGCACATTTATCTACATCTACTAGCACATTTAGCTACATCTACTAGCACATTTAGCTACATCTACTAGCATATTTAGCTACATCTACTAGTATATTTAGCTACATCTACTAGTATATTTAGCTACATTTACTAGCATATTTAGCTACATCTACTAGCATATTCAGCTACATCTACTAACATATTTAGCTACATTTACTAGCATATTTAGCTACATCTATTAGCATATTCAGCTACATCTACTAACATATTTAGCTACATCTACTAACATATTTAGCTACATTTACTAGTATATTTAGCTACATCTACTAGCATATTTATCTCGTCTTAAGCGCAGAGGTGACAGGGCCTTCTCTGTGGCAGGACCAAGACTCTGGAACGAGTTACCTCTGCTTGTCAGACAGGCCCCCTCCCTCTCGGTTTTCAAGTCCCGTTTAAAAACCCACTACCATTCAGTAGCTTTCAATACCAGATGATCTGTGTTTTGATCCTGTATGCTCCACACTGGTTTGTCGTCATTATCTGCATCGTTTTTTATGTCTATATTCTGATTTACCTCATTTTGTATTTTGCTTTGTGTGTTACCTGTTGTTTTGTCTGTACAGCACTTTGGTTGGCCTTGTTGCTGTTTTAAGTGCTTTATAAATAAAGTGGAATGGTATGGTATATTTAGCTACATCTACTAGCATATTTAGCTACATCTACTAGTATATTTAGCTACGTCTACTAGTATATTTAAATACATCTACTAGTATATTTAGCTACATCTACTAGCATATTTAGCTACATCTACTAGTATATTTAGCTACGTCTACTAGTATATTTAAATACATCTACTAGTATATTTAGCTACATCTACTAGTATATTTAGCTACATCTACTAGTATATTTAGCTACATCTACTAGTACATTTAGCTACATCTACTAGCACATTTAGCTACATCTACTAGCATATTTAGCTACATCTACTAGCACATTTAGCTACATCTACTAGCATATTTAGCTACATCTACTAGCATATTTAGCTACATCTACTAGTATATTTAGCTACATCGACTAGTATATTTAGCTACGTCTACTAGTATATTTAGCTACGTCTACTAGTATATTTAGCTACATCTAGTATATTTAGCTACATCTACTAGCATATTTAGTTACATCTACTAGCATATTTAGCTACATCTACTAACATATTTAGCTACATCTACTAGCATATTTAGCTACATCTACTAGCATATTTATCTCGTCTTAAGCGCAGAGGTGACAGGGCCTTCTCTGTGGCAGGACTTCACTTCACTCTTCACTGACTCGGTTCTTCTGACGGTGAAGTGATGAACAACCTGAAAAGCTCAGAGGTGTATTAGTATCTTCACAGTAATAAGGTTGGCGATGTTTTGTGAATAGGTGGGACACAATCTTATTGACCTTTAAAGCAGACACAGAATCCATCCAAAGCCTTAAAGTCCTCCATCACTGAGCTTGGGTTCATTGCAGAGAAAGACGAACAAACACTGTTTAAAGCTGTGACCTCCATTCACTTGAAATCATACCTGATGTTCTCGTCACTGTTTTCAATCCTTCTGAGGATCCAGCGTCTCTGCTCCGATGGTTTATTGTAGTCCAGACACAAAGTAGGATGCAGGTTTTCCTCCGTCGGCCGTTTGTCATCAAACTGAAATGAGCTCACATGCAACGTTTTGGATGGTCTCTTCAAGTTCACATTTTTCAGCTACATTCTTCTTGATTCCTCATCTGTATGTAGGATATGGAAACTAAACCTCTTTTCACAGGAAGCCGCGAACACAAGAGGTACCTGAACTCAGCGCGGCTATTTTAGTCAACTTTACGGTTGTTAAATAAATGTAAACAAAACACAATTTTATCTGCTAAACTGAATGATAATTACTTTCAAATAAACCACAGTCCGTGCTCCACTACCATGGTTAACCAATGCTACTGCTACTTCCTGTTTGACAGGAAGTTGTCCCCAGAATCATTTATACAGTAGAGCCCCCAGGAATAAGGTGGACAAAAGTCAACTGAGTCCCCTCCCCCACCGCATACTCATTTAAACTTTACTAAACTCATCAAGCTGGACATTATTTTCTCTTGTTCAAATGTATAAATTGAAACTCTGTCTCAGAACAATCACCCACCATTTTGTTGTAAACCAAACAACTTGGTTGTAGTCGACTGTAGATGGTGTTAGATTGGTAAAAGACTATGATGGACTGGAGACCTGTCCAGGGTGTCTTCCCCCCCCCCCCCCCCCCGCACAGTGACTGCTGGATATTGGCATCAGTGACGCCCGTGACCTTAAGTGGGTAAAGATGGATGTGTAAAAAAAAATAGTCATAATAAAACTGAAAAATGTTGTATACCCAGAACTAGATATGAATGAATCTGGATCTATTTCAAAATAAAAGCATATAAAAGTTAAACTTGTTCAGTTTGTTGATTGTCAGCTTTGATTTATTTATTTATTTATTTATTTATTTTTTTGACTGAAGAACGTTTGTTTGTCTCTGCCTGCAGTTCTGGATGTCAGCAGTGGCCACCACCATGCCCATCCCATCTGGGGCCTTCATGCCCGTTTTCATACTGGGTGAGCAAAAAGAGCACGTCAATTTAATCATTAGAATAGTTTGAAAAATATAAATAATGCTAATATGAGTGGTAAATTCAGAAAGGAGAACAAAACTTTACAGTTACATTTTGTTTGATTTAAAAATGTCTATAATCCCATTTTTTATTTATTTGCTCTCAAAATGAACATGTGTTCCTTATTGTGCTGTCTGTTTTTCTTGTGTTTATTTTATCAAACATTAATTTAAAATACTTTATATTGTTACCCCAAGCAACAAACTCCATAACGAATATTTTATGCAAATGTATTTTTATATATATATATATATATTTAAAAAAAATCTATGACCTTTGCTATGATGTGTCACCAGGTGTTTATTATTTTGGCTACAGTTTAAATTAATATGAATAAAAGGGACACAACTAAACATTAGGCGACTGTTTCCATCATTATTCTCAGATATGTGATAAGTTCATGTTTTTCATATTTTATTAAATAAAACCTTGTTTGATACAAATTTTGAGTTCTAGGAAAGTTACTCTTCTGACTTGTGCTGAAAAAGCCAGTTTATTAATTAGTTTTTAAATGTTTGTGCATCCTTACTGCATGAACTCTGCATTTCAAGGTCAAACTGGTGGAGCCGTTTGCCTCCTCCTCATTCAAATTGGATAAAATATTTTAAAAAAAGGATCAAATGTTAAGATTGCTTGTGGGTAAAAATGTATTATTTGGCCAGCGAGCATCGAGTTAAGAACTTTGAAGTGGTAATTTCCAAGCTTTTCCTATTATTTCCCTTTTTAGCTGTAAGATGGGAACTTGATGTGGTTTCATGACCCAGTTAAGGAGCAGTTGGGAACTTTGTGTCCTCACTCCTGACTCTTTTTAAAGAACACACGAGTCTAGTGTTAAAACACATCAGATTTAGCATCTTGTTCCTCCTGTAGGAGCTGCGTTTGGCAGGATGGTGGGCGAAATCATGGCCACTCTGTTTCCTCATGGGATCCTGTTTGATGGTATTCTGTACCGCATCATCCCTGGAGGATACGCAGTCATCGGTTAGTCTCATTTTTTTCTGTTTGTTTATCTTTTATTAGCAGTATGTCTACAGCTGTGACTTTTCTTCCAACAATCACCATTTGTCCCACGTTGTTCACAAATAAATTCTGAGAAAACAGAGCAAAAGTGATCCAATCAAAGCAGATCCTTTAGAAGTTAACCAACACTGTCCACCTTCCTTCCCGCTCTCATCCTCCTGCACACTCAGATTTTAAAGTGTCCAGATTGTCAGTTGTCCTCATCCTTGTTGTCGTCTGTCACTTCATCCATTTTCTTTCTGCTTCAGCGTCTCGTCCACCTCATTTCAAACTTTCCAGCCCTTCAGTCAACATTCGCTGTCAACTTGTTCTCCTCCTCGTCTATAATCCTCCTCATCTCCCCAGCGTCTGTTGGTTTGTCATCCTCTCCCTCTCCTCCTCCTTTCCATCAGAACGTGTGGTCTCTTTGCTCTGACAGTTAAATGTCACCGTGGGTTTACTCTGCTGTCCTCACCTCAGCCAGTGACCCAGAAATATAGCCGTCCCTCGGTTTCTCTCTCTCATCTCTACAAAGGTCATCCCTCCTGTTTTTCTCCATTGATCTTTCAGCCCTTTTGATCAACTCTCTTTTTAAAAGCTTAATGCCTTCTTCTCTATTAACTCACTTTAGCTCCTGTTTTCTGAGGACGTTCTCATTTATCTTTTGGACCTTTGACTTCTCTTTTTCTTACGTTGCATCCACAATCAGCTGCACTTTATTTCCTTTTCATCGTAGTTTCCAGGTTGTCTCTTTTCATTCGCCTTCATTTTTATTTTTTAAACACTTCCTTCATTACCGTATTTTTCGCCGTATAAGTCTCACCTTTTTTTGCATAAATTAGCAAGTCCTGCAACTTATACATCGACGCGACTAATATTTGTTTTTTTCCCCATGTTTATAACCCAATTTTTGACTGAGGTCTGACGATTTCATTTATTTAGACATGGAAAATATTGAACACTACCATTTTCAGCCACTAGAGGGCCCTCGAGCGATATGGCAAGCCAAGTTTTTTTCATTCAACCTTTATTTATACAGGTTAATCCCAATGAGCCTTGAGGACTCATTTACAAGAGAGACCTGATTTCAACAAAGAATGATGACAACAATGGACAATGGCGACAACAATAGACAATTATAAAAGAGGCGTACAGATTTTTTTTAACAAATTAAAATAGGATGGCAAAAGAGTTGCAAAAACAGCTTGATTCTAAGGTGAATGTAGAAAACTAAAAACAGGAACATGTCTGCATTGGTCCCTGCCAGGAGTCCAACAGATTCTTAAAGCCACTTAGAGAGGTCAAGGTCGAGAGCTTCAGATCTTTTTGTAAGATATTCCAGGAAACAGGAGCGGAGTAGGAGAAGGCCCTTTTGTCTAGTTCAGTCCTCACTGAGGGAACACTGCAGGTAATAATGTCCTGAGAGCGCACGCTGTAGCTGCACTCACACAGAGACATGTAGGAAGAGATGTATGAAGGCAGCAGACCAAGAAGTGATTTAAAGATGAAAATGTACCAGTGAGAGAGTCTGCGTGAAGTTAATGATGTCCAGTTAACCATTGAATACTGGGTGCAGTGGTGGGTACGATAATCACAGCCAGTTATGAATCTTAGTGCACCATGATAGACAGCATCCAACATCTGCAGCATCCAACATCTGCAGGGTTCTTGTAGGAGCGTTCATGTAAATAATGTCACTGTAATCAATGGAGGGAAGGAAAGTCACAGATACAAGGAGTTTCCTAGCATTCAGAGTTAGACAGGATCTGTTTCTGAAAAAGAAACCCAGTTTAACTTTCAGTTTCTTTACCAAGTTTTCCATGTGAATCTTAAAAGAGAAATGCGAGTCAGACAAGATACCCAAATGTTTATAGGAATCAACAAACTCAATGGGTACACCATTTGAAGATAAAATCAGAAGAAGAACCGCCGGGACCGACTTCCTGTTTGAAAAAAGCATCCCCATGGTTTTATCAGCATTTAGGACAAGTTTGAGGTGGAACAAATCAGTCTGGATGTTGTTGAATGCAGATTGCAAAAGCTGGAAAGCCTTAGCAACTGTTTTAGCTCAACAATAAACAACTGTATCATCAGCATAGAAATGTAAGGATGCATCAGGGATGCTTTGACCTACATTATGTAGATTGAAAAGAGGGTGGTCCTATAAGACTGAGCCTTGTGGTACACCATTGTTGACTGTTAAATAACTGGAGGAAGTACCATTCTGTTCTGTCTCATTAAGTGTATCATTAAGTGTCTCATTCACAGGTAAAAGTGGCTATTAATGAGACACTTGGCTTGCCATACAAAGCCACCTTCGTCTCGCTTCAAAACTCCTGGAGCAAACGTCAAATCAGCTGCATTTCGCCGCGCCACCCAGACGAAATGCAGCTGATTTGACCATTAAAGTGCATTTATTAAGGAAAGGTTAAACTGAGACACACCTTTGCTATAATGTCAAGCAAACAAATAATTGTTTTTAAATGTTACTCTAGTTAAATTCTTGTTAAAGTCCTCCCATGCACGCTCCCATGGCCGCCATTTGGCAGCCAATCGATTTTTGGCGCAACACCGGCCCACGTTTCTTGGTGGTCAGCGGTGACACATAATAGATGTGACATACACGGCGAAGCGACTTGTGTTTTTTCCACTTTAGTAGACATATTTGGACTGATTTGACTTATAAGGCGTTGCCTTTCATCCTGACATATTTGCTCCTTTTACTCACTTTTTTAAGCCACTATAAGAATTTCACAGTTTGTCCCAGCGCAGTTCAGTTCAGTTCGGTTTGTTTCTTCCAACTTGTCTTTGTCATGTTTTTGCAGCCATATTGTCTCGTCTTTCCCTCCATGTCCCTGACAGGAGCAGCAGCACTGACCGGAGCTGTAACTCACACGGTGTCCACTGCTGTTATCTGCTTTGAGCTGACAGGACAGATCTCCCACATCCTGCCCATGATGGTGGCAGTAATCCTGGCCAACATGGTGGCCCAGGGCCTGCAGCCCTCGCTGTACGACTCCATCATCCAGGTCAAAAAGCTGCCATACCTGCCAGAGCTTGGCTTTGGACACATGAGGTTGGTGTTTAATATCAGCCGCAGGAGTCATTTTCATCAGTCTTGGTTTAAAAAGGTGCGTTATGCAAAAGTGAAACAATATATATTTTTTTCATTTAAGATGTTTAAGCACTCAATTCTACGTCTACAAGCTCATAAATATTCCACAATATTTGTCTTCTTAATGACCAAATTATCAATTAAATAAGCTTCTTTTACTTTGTACATAATAACAAAAAATGTCTTGTTTGATCGCAACTAAACTATTTAATTCCTTCTTAAATTTATTAATTCCTTCAGTCCTTTCGGACTTTCCAAAGATACAATAATTTTTGGTGTTGAGAGGAAAAAATGTGTAATTTAGCAGAACTTTTGGTAAGTTGTGTTTGTTTAAACTCCATCTTTCTTCCATGTGGATTTTGGACTCATAACTATTTCAGCATACTTCGGCTATTTCAGCCATTTATATATGAAAATGTTCGGCTCATTCAGGTCGTGACACTTTTAATTTTTGTAACTTTTACACTTATTGAAACATTTAACTTTAATTTCAGTTTTATCAATGAAATGAATAAACAACTTTAAATATTTAAACAAAATACTTTGGCTTTTTAATTATTTTTATAAAACTGGATTCGTGTTTAGTTTTTAGCTGCTGCTTTGCTCATTTTAGCTTTTAGCTAGTTTTGACTATATTAGCTCAGCATTTAGACTGAATTGAAATTCATATAGAAAATGCTTATTTTTTTATATTTGTCATTATCAATCAAACGTTTAGTCCATTTCTGTTTCTCATCCACAGCCAGTACAACATCTTTGTGGAAGACATTATGGTGAGAGACGTGAAGTTCATCTCCTCCCAGTTGACATACAGAGAAGTCAAACACCTGCTGGACTCCTCCTCGCTGAAGACGATCCCACTGGTCGACTCAAAAGGTAAAAAAAAAAAAAAAAAGTTTTAACAAAATTATAGGCTGCAGATGCAAAACATTCATCATGTATTAAAAAAAAATACAGCTTAAATTCTCAAAATTATTAGATTAGTTGAGTCATAATCAAAGTTTGTGTCACTTCATTTTGTTTTGTCTTTATTTCCAGATTCAATGATTCTGTTGGGCAGCATCGACCGGGTGGAGCTTCTGGCTCTTTGTGACTGGTGGCTGTCGCCTGAAAGAAGACTGATAATGCAGGTGAGTGCCATCAGACAGAAGATAATCCATTTACAGATTTAATCTGTTCCAACAGGTTAACCAATTCCATTCAATTCAATTCAGTTTATTTATATAGCATAAAAAGTAAATTAATGACATTGTTTATCTGAGGAGCCAGCAAACTGCTTTGAGGAAGAATAACACCAAGGTTTATAACATTAGAATTAGAGGCCAAATTAATGTCGTCTAGAGTTGATTAAAGACTGCAAAATTTATTCCTAAGATGCTCAGGTCCAAAAACCAAAATCTGAGTCTTGTCTAAGTTGAAAAGCAGACTGTCATCCAGGTTTTTATGTCTTTAAGACATGCTTGTAGTCTAAGTAACTGATTGGATTCATTCGGTTTTCATGGACAAATATAACTGTGTATCATCAGCATAACAATTAAAATGTATCCCATGCTGTTTAATAATATTACCTAATGGAAGCATATATAACAAAAAAGTATGGTCCAAGCACTGAACTCTGAGGAACTCCATGACTAGCTTTAGTGCAAGAAGAATATTCATATTTACATTTACAAACTGGAATCTGTTCAGATATATATGATTTAAACCATTTTAGAGCCGTTCCTGTAATCCCAATATCATATTATGTTTTTTAAACTGGCCACAGTGTGATGAGCATTTGAAGAATTTGAAGAAAATATTTCCATTAAGACAAACAAAGGTTGAAATAATTTCTTCTAATGCCACTCATGAACAAAACAATTTTTTTTTAAATTATAATAAAGTATATTTTATTTACTTATAGACTTGGCCTAATTCTATCTTGGGTTTTAATAAATAAATGATTCAAATAAAAAAAAAAAATCACAAAACGCTTAAACGTCATCAAAATTCACCGTAATTATTCAAGGTATCGTATCGGTATAAGTATAGGAGATACTGTACCTGTATTTACTTGGTATTGAGCGAAACTAATTTTTGCAGTATCGCACACCACTAGTAGTTGGTGCAAACATGTTGCCGTAGTTTTATGTTTCTGTGCAGACGTTCTGGAACACCATTATAAACTATGTTAAGCGCCTTTCTAATTGCGTCCAATGAGATATTGGGAAATTTTTCCTTCACGGAGCAAACGAGTGTTGGGTTATGTAAGATAAGTGTGCAAGCATAATCACAAATGCAATAATTGGCTTAATGTTTGGCCTAAATTGAAAAGAAGGTTATGTTTAATTTGGATCATGATTGTGCAAATAAATGAAGCAGCCTGAGCGCCGCAGATATTCAGCTGAGGCTGGTTTCGTGTCCACAGAGAGAAAATGAAAAGAGAAAAATCCCATGAAGTGAAATCAGTCAGATGCTTCTTGTAAGAAGTGCTCTGCAACCGAAAGATGCTGGTCCTAATGGACTTACTGACTTAGCAGGAAAAAGAAGTACATTTGATAAATAGGGAGACATTCGAAGTACAGCGATTGTTCACAGAAAAGTGCTAAAGCGACCATAATGCCACGTCCTATTCGTAAATGTTGGTAACTGAAAGCAGAAACTAAAATCAGGATGCTTCTTTTAAAACCCTCAAAGGAGGAAACCTTTGATCTCACTCAGGACGAGCGCAGTAGCGATTAAAAGTAAAACACCGGGTGTTATGCGCTGAAATGTCTTCCTGGTTGTGAGTTCAGGGTCGCAGCCTGCAGGAGCAGAATCTGTGTCACAGAAACAGCTGGGAGTCGTTCGCCTTTGTGGATGAGGAAGAAGAGGAGGAAAAAGAGAAGGCACGTCTCTGTTTTCCTTTATTTCTTAACTTTTTTTAAACAAATCTCATTTTTATCAGCACCCAGCGCTTACATTTCTGTCGTCTGCAGGACAGTCCAGTTCAGGAGGAGAGAAACGGCCCCATCCCCGTTCCAAAACCTCAGGAGCCTTCATCGAACCACACTCCTCCTGCACCCGGTGAGTTGAATGATGACATATTTCAGCTTCTCGTGGAAGTGATGCATTCTTTTACTAATATACTGGAAATAATTAACTCGCTGCTGCAAAAGAAACGACCCCACCGGACTCAGAATGTGTAAAAGACAGGGACTTGTTGTCGTTGGCAGTTTGCAGTCCGTCACCTACTTGTGAACCCTCCAATCCGGTTTCTATTAAAGTGAAGTGCTCCTCTGATTAACCAATTTCTTCAAGAGAGAGATACAAACTGTGGAGTTCCACTGAGACGTTGGGTGATATATGGAGCAGCACTTTCAGGGAAACGTCGATATATTGTTGCTCAGCCTTTTCTTCAAAATAAAGGCGTTAAAACAAAAGGATTTAATCTGTTGCTCAGGTTATAGCTCAAAAACTGCACACAGTATTTCCCAAGTACAAGTACCGAATTTTCATATTTGCCAAGTCCTGTTTCCTCTCCAGTCAGTTTTAGGAGCTATAATGGAAAACAAGTTCTTAGTTTTCATCCAAGTTATCATTACTCACAGAAATAATACATGCAATATATCTGTTTATTACAAACAGCTTTGCTGAGTCTTTTTAATTTTATTTTTGTTTTATCCCTGGACAAAAACAAATCCTGCAGAAGTTTCCTGCAGCTGCACAACTAGATATTTATTTAAAAAAATATTTCTTGTGTCCGAGTGAGCGTTCATGTCCCTGCGTTTTCCCAAAATACCTCATGAACCTATGGATGGTTCATGCCGTGGATGTATTTTGATGGAACTTGCAGAGCGGAATCACTGGGTGTAAATCTACATAAGATACCTTTTTGAGTCAACTTGGTTCAAAATGGCTGCCACAGCCAACTGACCTTAAAAAAAGACGAAAAATGCTATCATCAAGTCTGTTTTACAGATATAGAGCTAAAACTTGGTATAATAGCTGAGACTGATCCACAACAGACTCAGTGCAAGTCTGCAAGTGACAGACCTTTGGAGCCGATCCAGATGGTTTCAACTCAGTCAAAATTTTGAAGATTGATCGAAGCTTCTGGAATAATTGCATAAAGTTTACAAGGTTTGACCAAAATGTCAACCAGCAAAGCAGCTTTGCATCTTAAAGCACTGATTTCCTTAAAGAATGCTACCTTTGCATATAGATGGATAGATAGATAGATAGATAGATAGATAGATAGATAGATAGATAGATAGAT